TGGTCCAACAAAATTATTTTTATGTCTGCATCTAACTAAACTTTTATATATTTCAGCAAAATTATAATTTCCATAAACACACCACTCTTTAAAATGTATTATTTAATAATAAGAAGAAAGTTAATTCATAATAATAATTAATAATAATTAATAAGAAGAGATTTATACAGTTAATTATTAAATTAAAGGTGAAAAGTGAATTATAATAAAAATGTATAAATTATTATAATAAAAAATTATTATAAATTCGAATACATTTTAATTTGTTACGATTTAATATAATAATATATTCTGATACAAACCGTGCTCAACGGAGCCTTGACTCAAAATTATGCTGTAAATGACAAGTTTTTTTGGTGTCAGTATCGCGAGTCGAATATCTGGTGAGCCTCTGAAACAAATTAGTATTAATGTAATCGATATAAATGTTATATAAAAATATAACATTTAAACAAACGATGTTGCAAAGTGCATTTATTTAATTAAAGATAATTTTTAACAGAATGGCTTTAGTTTAAAATTTTAAATAATATTCTAAAGTTCTAACGAGACACTAATAAATAAATTTCTTCATATTTATTTTTAGCGTCTGTATAATTTATCTACAATTTCATTCACAATTATATACAAAACATAATTTAACATATTATTTAAATATCATGCCTATATATTTAATTGATAATTTTAACATGCATATAAAACGAATTTTTGTAAAATTTTATAATAATTATCTATTTATTCTTTCTTTAATTGTTACATTTTTTTAAATTTTAAATTTACATTTTTATAGATTAAATTTAAATTAATTTTGTTTCATCGCAATTGATTTTAATTGAAATTATTTCTTGTTGTTCTGGCTTTCACAAAAATCTTCATCACAAGGCCATGCATTCCAGAGTTAAAAACGTGCAATTCTTCATTCGACGTCAATAATCCTTTCACTTCACAAATCTCACGATCTCACTTACGAGACGAATTTGCCCGCCTTCATGTCGACGATACAGTCGCTGATTTGTGTCTCGACGATCAAGTCCGAGGATTTGTAACCGCTCGGCGACTTGGTCTCTTCTATCCATTGCGAGAACGGGCTATATATTCGGAGATAGCCGCTGTGGCTGCCAATGACGATGATGTCCTTTCGGTCAGCCCCGAACAATGGCGTGATCAGCAAGCTGTGCTTATCGAAAGATTCATTCACTCCGCATTGCGTTCGCCACCATTCATTTGTTTTGAACAACGACATTTCCAAAACGCTTCAAGAATTCGGTAGCATTGTGACACGGACAAAATGCAACTAAACACTAGGAGTTTACACGCCGGTGGTTGCTATGGCAACATTGACAACGCGCCGCCACAACAAGTCAGTGTCTCGACGCTTGAAGCTAAAGCTAATCAAAGACGCAACAAAATTGCAGTGTAACTCCACTTATCTAATCGTGAATGTCGAAGTATATGCGTATTACAGGTATCAGCAAATTACTGTCTAAATGGCACATGACTTTCCTAAGTTTCAAAACTATGTCTATGATACGTTAAAGAATTATACTTGCTTATTTAGGATATTTAATTTTCGCAGATTCAGCAACTTATTAAATTTTTTTTATTTAGAATTTTTAATAACTTTAAAAGTTTTGATCTATTAAAAAAATTTAATTGATTAAAAATATTCAATTCCCATTCAGCTATCTGCCTTTTTTGACTTATAATTTTTAATATTTCAAAACCTTCGACATTTTAAAGAATCGCAATTGTTTCAGAATATATATATAATCAATTCACGCAAATTTAATAGGATATATTTTCTACATTTTCTGGCATATATTTCTTAATATCTTCGCATTAACACTTCAATAAATTATAATTGCTTATAAAGATATTTATTTCGTACGAATTCAGTGGCCTGTAAATTTCTTTAGTTTAAAATTTTTAATAGCTTTAAAGACAAGAAAAATCTATCTTGTCTTTCGATTCTAAATGTAATAATTTAGTACGATATAATTTGTGATAACAACTCTGTAATAACACTGTTCAACACCCGGAAGATTTTTTTGCGCTGACTACAATGTGTCGTTGGCAGAATTTGCATAACAGGATTTTAAATAAAATTGAGGTAAAAAACCTGATGAGAATAAATAGTATCCATGTGGAATCCATGTATTTTGACTAATCGTGGATTAAAAATTTAATCACGTAATATCCACGTGATTGTAACGTTGACATTTCCTTGCGAAATCGAAATCAATTTTCATCAAAATTTTGACATGGATTCTAATAGACACTTCCATATAGATTTAAAAATGTAGAATCCATGTGGATTATAGTACCGTTTTTGAACAGATTGTCACTCTTGTTCACGTAGAATCCACATCGAATCCATGTACCTGTTCTCGATGGATATTACGAGGAATCTTGTAGGAAAAATTGATTAGAAATATCGATTTGATTTTCACTGATTGGATTCTAGTACCGTTTTTGACTCACGCAATTGTTCACGTAGAATTTTGAACATTTTTTTGAATGACATTTTTTTCTTCTAAATAAAATGTACATTTAAAAATTCAAGAGCTTTCAAATAAATTTTAATTTATAATCGCGTACGGCTTGTTTTCAGATAGTATGACTATTTGAATTTTAAACTTTCTGCATCTATCATTACACAGTTCAATAAAAAATTATTCTTTTTTTCTCTTTGGAAATCTCTATATTCGATCATATATTATATTATTATTTATAAAAAATTAATATATACTTAGAATAAAAATTATAAAGTTAATATACTGAAAGATTTAATTCTTCATATAGACATTTATGAAGTGTAATTATTAAAAATAAAGATATATTCCCATTACAAAAAATAATCATTGATTGTTCATTTTATTTTTTTTGTCAGTTTATACGTTGATGAATTAAGTAACAAGTTATTTTTTAATTTTGCTGTATAATTATATGTAAAGTCTAAAATTTAAACAACCATTAATAAAAATAATAAGTCGTATAATCACATCTAAAACCCATTTAAAAGTATTTCATTTGTACTTTTAGATGTCGTAGATATTATTACTAGAAATAAAATTTTTTTTTGTCATTAAAAATATTAAAAATGTCCAAATATACCACCTATACAGCATAGAATTTGCAATAATATCGCTGCAAAATTTCTACAATATTGCTGTAACATACAGTGTTGTTGTAATGTTATAGCAGTGTTGCTGCAACTTTTGTGCAACTTTGTGCTGCAGGGGCATTTTTTTTTATTCATTTCATCTTAATTTACTATCTATGCAAATTTTGCCAATGGTAGTGTGGCATTGTGTTCAACATGAGAAAAATCTTTGGAAGATGTATTATGGTATTTTAAAGAGAAAAAGAAGTAATTTGTTTGTTGAACAGAGTAATTTATAATTATGTAATAATTTAGAAATTTAAATATAATTTAATTTAACAGGCTCATATTTGTATAAACATTATCGTATATTTAATAACTAATTTTTTGGTAGGTGGAAAAAAGATTTTATACACAATAAAACATAAAGTTTATCTTTATAGATTTTATTACACAAAAACTGTGTATATACGATATAAATAAAGTATGCATTATTTAATTCAAATATATAAATCACGATTAGTACATTTGTCGTATTTATCAATAATATATCTGCCATATATCCAGCTAAAAATTTTAAATTCGCAGGATTCATATAGGGTGAATCAGAGTCGTTGAATCAACTTTTTACCTTATGAGAAAATTAGCGACTTCATACCAAATTGAATTACAACGTGTACAGTCAATTATTTTCTTATAAGATAAAAAGCTGGTTCAACGACTCTGATTCACTCTGTATATTCGCACGTAATCATATTTTTTTATTGCGTAAATTGGTATAATATCTTGTCAGCAGATGTCACTACAGTATTCGATTTCTAAATGACAACAGTTGGAATGATAGATTTCCATCTGCTTTAAAAATTTAAACAAAATATTATTTGTATATGTAACAGTTAATAAATTCGTGGTAATTGAAATGAAATTGTTGGAAAAGTAGACATAGGGATTTGTCATACAAAATAGAATGAATTGAGAAAATGCATAATTAAATTTAAAACATATATGTTAATATAATAGTATTTTGTAATTTTATAACATAATCACATTGTATTTTAAACACGGCACTAGGTTTTTTTTATTATAAATTAATACACATTTTATTAGAATTATTTCTCATGAAAAATGTCTACGATGACTTAAAAAGAATCACTGTGATTAACTTAATCCATGATTAACTTACTACTAAGCGACTGTATTATATTAATGTGGATAATGTGTGTGTGTGTGTGTGTGTGTGTGTGTGTGTGTGCGTGTAGTTTGTCGGAACACTTTATCCTTACGAATAAATTTATCCCTCAGAATTAATACTATATTTATTGGAAATTAATTATTAATATTTTATGGTTTTATCATAAAAAATTGCTTTTGGAAACCACATATCACTAGAAATGCGATTTGTAGAAAAATTAAAGTAAGATATATGTATAGAAATAGTTCTCATTTTAGAGTCTTCGTAAAAAATTTATCCAAATACATTATATTGCAATATTGCTGGAACGTTTTGTTGCAATATAAAAAAGCGGACATCTTAACATTGTTGGAATTTTGCAACGTTTGCAATATTACAATATTTCAGTGAAATTATTCTGCAATGTTTCTGCAATCTTTCTGTGCTATATGGGTATAAAAAGAATAGAAACGCTATTATATATAATACATATATGTAATAATCTTTATTAAAAATATGTATTAATTGTATATAAGTGCAGTTCTCTTTATTAGTCAACTTCAGCAAAGACGCAAATTTCCTTCGAAATTGAAATAGCTGCAATGTCAATATCATTATAGTACACGTTGAGAAAATTTTGAAGGATCAGCTTTCTTTTTAATAAATAAAATTACGTCCACATTTTTTCACATCTATCAATTTTTACTACTAATTACCATAATATGTTATATTACAATAATATGTGCGCTAAATTAATATTGACTACCGACTTTTCTCCGTTCGCGGAAAGAATCTGCAAAGTAATCAAGTTAATTTGCTTGCTACATCAGCAGATATTTAGAAAGTTTTAATTCTTTTAAATTTTGCCAAATGAATACACATTTTTCTCGCAATAATTTAATTTATTGTACTCGCACGCGTCGATGATTCCAGATTTCCTTTCTTCTACCATAGTTGAAACTGTCTCTTCTGGCGTATTCATACTTTGTCTGTAAAAGATTAAGAGTAATTGCATGTATAAAAGAGTTTTTTTTTTTAATATTACCTTTTGTGCCATAACAATTCGAGAGTAAATATAATTATGCTAAATAACGCTCCGTAGCCCATCGTGATTATCGCAAAATAGCATTCCGTAAAACCGATGGTGATGAAGCCAGTCTGACTCGAGCAAGTCGGTTTTTTTATGTATATGCGATACTCGTCGCGATACATGAGCCCATATTCTCGCAGTTTCAAAGCTCTGAAAATGCTTCTCTCAAGTACTATAATACTATTGGAATTTATCTGGTATTTTATACAAATGCAACGCAATCTTCTTCGAGCTTATTTTTTTATACAAAATTACTCTTAGGCGATTGAAAGATCAACATTTAAAAAATGATAAATGTTATATATGAAAATATTAATTAGAAATTTTTTGGACTTTGATAATTAATTCTATATCAATTATGTATAAATTTTGTTAAAAAAATATATTATGCAAAGCAAATGAAATGATATTTTGTGTACCATCCTGTATTTCACAAATTGATGTATGTGATATTACTTATGGTTAACGAAATACAGTATTTGCTCACAGTTAAAAAAGCTGCATATATTCCACAAGTATAATTTTAATAAGATAATCTAATATTATGACAGTCTGTGCGCCATATTATATATTAATTCTTGATATGCATTATGATTATACAGTAGAAACTACTGTATAAACTTGAAGCAAAGCATGCGTTTTTGACAAAAATTCTCATATTAAACTTTAATTTGTTCGAATTAATTCGCATTCAAAAGTGCTATGTATATGAAAAATTGACATAAACTTACCCATTTTTTATTATCTCTAAATAAGGTGATTTTTTCGCAATTGCAATAATCGGGTAGATCTCATTCAAATAATCGATCTCAGTCAGGCCACATTTCTCTTCTTCCTGGTATGTGTTCTGCATAATGTGATACATCGGACTTCGTATACCATGAAATGCAAAAGGTTCATTTCTTATACGACGTACTCCTTCTTCGAGACTCATCCAGTTCGGTTTGTGCCCTTTTGGTTCAACCTTCTGCTCCACAATCGCTTTTCTGATGGGGTCTTGAAAAGTCTATATTTAAAAAAAAATAAAATTATTTTTGTCAATATAATCATTTGTTGTATAATTTTGTTTTAAAACAATTATCTACCTTGAAATAATTTCGATTAAATACTATATCTTGTACTCCTAAAGTTAACGGGCTATGCAAGAGACCGGAAAGGGTTTTGATCGAGTCCGTGGTAGTTTGCAAGAGAGCCACTATATTCGCCGTATAAGCTGCATAAAGGCTCAGCGAAGTCAGTAATAACATAAGAGTGACGATTCGAGATGGGATTCTATATGGCTCATATGAATATCCTACAAATGTACGGAAGCAATAAAATTTCTCTATTTTTAGCTCTCATAAATACTTCAAATACATCGTTATTTTTTTAAAGCAGTGTTACGCAATTTGTCTTAAAAAAGCTATTTTCAATATTTGTAGGTATATATACGTATATGTGTATATATTATTATATATTTTATGACGCCGGATGACACCTGACGTCACCGGACAGCAATAAAATGATATTATTACACGACCGTACATTTTGCGCAAAAAAAATAACCAAAATGATTAATTTTAAATTTTATCTCATCAATAAAGAAACAAAAAATCAAGATTATTTAAAAATCAAATACCTACTTTACAAATATGTCATACATTTATGTAATATAAATTACATTGTTAAATATTAAATTCTTAAAAATATACAATAACAAACGATTTATTAAGAGTGTATGTGTGTAATACGTAATAAAAGTTTAATGCCTATTATGGTCAAAACTGGATTTTAAATACTTTTTAAATAATTTCTATGTGAATTTATGTACTAAATTTGTAGTTAATTGAACTGCGCGCCAAAATAAGTTTTTCAAACTTATAAATGCTATCAATTTAATTTGCGATATTACTATAGTATATAATTTGATTACATTTATAAGTTCGAAAAATTATTTTGGCGCACAGTTCAAATATTACATATTTAGTATATAAATTCAAATAGAAATTATTTAAAAAGCATCTAAGATCCAGTTTCGACTGTAAAAGGCATTAAACTTACTTGTTGTATCTTAAAGATATTTTTAAATGCATTTTAAATTTGCGTAAAATAGAAAATATAATTTTATATTTTCGACTGTGAACTGATGGATTGCAGGTTGCGTATCACTACTCTAAAGTAACTCTTTCAATATAAATTTGAATCCTCATATTTCTCTCGTCCAGATTTTTAATCGCATAATTACGTGATCATTAATGAAAAGAAGAACAAAAAACAGAAAATATTAAAGGTTTTATTTCACTCAAAATGAGAGTGGAAATTGAGGAGCAATTCCAGAATATGTACATATAAGTTCTAATAATTCTATATAATAATAGATAAAATAAAAATAAAAAACTTCTACTATATTCTTTTACAAATTTATTTTTTGAATATTTTTATTTACAAGTTTTATAAGAAAGCTTTTACATTATACCTTGTTGCGCAAATGCACCTAAAATGACGAGAAGATTATCGATGATTGTTGGTTTGCTAATATTTAATTGATTCCAGTAAGCTGCTGATTTTTTCGAAGTACCTCGATAGTGTTCCCATTTCATAGACATGTATAGCAAGCAAAAGACAAGAACAAGGAATATGCCGGTTGCTATCCAGACATTTCTTTGAAAGGGTAAGGTGAAGATGTTTTTTATGGTCGACAATAATGGTCGTCGGAACACGAAACACAAACTGCACAAAATTTATGTGTTACGTCAATATTAGTATTATATATTATTAGTATTATTAATATTATATATATTAGATTCTGACAAATAATATTGGCTACGTTTACAATGTAAACTTTACATTGTGGGCTTAATCCGCGATTTATACAATAAGTGTCTTTGTTTATTCTGTAGGTTAAACAAAGACACATCGTAGGACTAAGCACACGATGTAAACGTAGTTAATACTAAGAAATAAAGATAAGAAACATTAGAAAAACAATAGAAAAAATATAGATACGCTAGAAAAAATATTAATATTATAATGTTAACAATATTGTTAATAAATTACGTATTAATTTTGATATAAAATCTGAATTTATAGATCCATTTAATTGAGATGATATGCTAATCAAATAAATAATATGAAAAATTTTTTGTTGAAATTGGAGCTTCAAATATGTAGATAATATATTACAATAAATTGTAATTAACAGAATTTAGAAGCATCATTAGGGTAATTTGCATTCGAACTTCGAAATGTAACTTTCTTGTAAATTGTTTATTGAAAATGACTCGAATGGTCGAAACATCTGTTTGAATAGATTATTTAATATTAACAACAATATCTAGCTTTTTGCTCGTAACCTTTTACATATTAGTTGTAATTGTTTTATTTAATTGAGCATAATATAATATTACTTTATTAATATAATTATTATACATAGCTACATTAAAAAATATTATATATTAAATTTTAATAAATTTGTTTAAATAATTATATAATATAATAGAGCAATCAAAGTTTCGATTAATTAGATTTTAAGTGTTATTTTACCCAGTGCGTGTATATAATTGAATGTATTCTAATATATGAATGCGATTCGCCATCATGTACATAGAAGTGCCGCCAATGTCAATTTCATGTCGTTGCAGCATCCCGATCATCCCGTCCCAGGATCCATTATTATTACGTCCCCAGTTGTTGGAAATATCAAAACTTATTCTATAAAATGAAAGAACAAGATACTTCCTCGCGTTCGACGTTCGATAATGTCAGATTTTACATTTTATTTTTCCTGATAAAGCGCATGACACTTATATAATTAAATTAATCGGCTCCATTCGTACGCTAATTATAATCTAATTATAATCTAAACGAAAATGATTTTATCATATATTGTATAATTGCGTGATCACTCTAAATTAATAATCATGTTTTTATAATAGCTTTATTATCATTTTAAGCTTGCATTTAAGATCGTTAAATTTATAAAGTAATTGACAAACCGCTTTTTTATTCTTCAAAAATTTTCTTCATAAGCATTTTAACGATATCAGTGTATTTTACTGTCAAAAAACAAAACTCACGTTGCGTTCATCCGATTTACTAAATGAAGTATCCAGATATAATTCACCTTTGTTATAGGATCTATCATATTATATTTAAAATCAGTTAAGTGATTGATCGTGTCAGGATTTGTCATCTGCAAAGATGAAAAAATGTATTTCTATATGCAAAAAATTTTGAATATCTAAAACTAAACATATAAATTAAATTGTGGCGTTATTTTTTTTATTTTATGATAAAATAAAAAAGTAGGATACACTATTATTAAATGCTTGTAATTGAAATATCATATATCATTGATGTAATAAATATGTTTCATTGCACAGTAAGTGTATGAATACGTGTTCAAAGTACCACGAGACAAGACTTAAGATGTGACTGCTGAAGATTCCTTCTTCTTGCCGAAGCCACGTCGAAAGTACTCATTTGTAAACCGTTTTTGATTGTCCAGTTTCCGCGATTTTCCCATATTACTGTTCGTTGTGGACTCGGTCGATATACTGATGTCAGTTGAAGAAAATCACTATCGAATCTTCGAACAAATACCACATCACTGTCAGGATAGATAGCTAAATCTTCAAAGATCTCTAAGTTATCATATGTAAAAGTTATGTTGGCGTTATCGATCAACATTCTTCGATCCTGAAGAAGCAGCCACTTCATCGGGGCGATGAACATTTTCTTCGAATGTGCCTATCGCGTAATGATCAGATGAATAATTAATTGATTTAAACGAATGATAAAAAAATTCCCTAACTCATATATGCCATCAGTCCATGAACATTAATGACTTCTCTTTTATTGACAATGGATTGTAATCAATACTGAATTGTGCAATCATGAATAAACGTTGTATTTTTAAAGTGGCTAGAATTATTGATATAAATTATTATGAGTACAAATAAAACTATTGGAAAAAAAATTTTTTTTTTTTAAATAAGTTGTAGGTTTTTACAAAAATTGTGTATTATATTTGTGCTCGCATCTTACTTGCAACGATGTTCGACACCTACCTGTCGTAAAATTTTTATAGCATAATCACAATTCAGATCTAGCACATACAGATTCTGATGCTCCAAATTGTTATAAATTCTTTCTTTAAGATCGACAAAGTTATGAATGCAATGTGCCAAATAATGATTCGACATTTCCCTTGATAATTTAATCGTATCATCTGAGAAAAAGAAAAGAGTATAGAATCAATTAAAATTCTTGAGATATTTTTGTACGCCCGGGAAAAAATGTTATATTTATGGACATATAATTATATATAATTGTATATAAAATATGTCAATTTTTTATATAATTATATATAATTTTATATAATTTTATTATATATGTAAAACATTTTTTCCCGGGTGCCTTTTTATGTAAATTAAAATCATCATAATTTAGAGTGGTATAACGATATTTTATTCCAAAATTAATAAAATTCACAGTAATATGATAGTTTATATAACGTTATAAATTTAAATTTAAAAATTTTTCTCTTTCTTAATGTTTACTTCAAAATTTATGATTAGTTTTATTCTTTTAATCGTCATATTTTCAACAGTCTCGAAACGTAAATTATAAATTCGAAAATCTTGCCATAGCTGATGCACGAATATAGAAATATCCTTGATGGCGAAAATAAAATGGGCGTCGCATCGACGATAAATTGTAGAATCACATCGTCGATCCGACGAGAGAATGTAGTGTCGAGCGACACTGCAAGGATGCATAGAACGACAAAAAACATTCCAATCGCTTTTGTATTCGTTAAGCGATTGCAAATAGATCCCTTCAGGATTGTCGATAGTATCGATTATACATCCGTTATAACAGTAATCTTTTTGCGTATTGTCGAGTTGGGATATTCCCATTTATAAGAAAATCGCTTATGAATCCAAAACAAAATAAAAACGTAATAAAAAGGGAAATAGGTACAATAAGTCGATTATTGTCGCACATAAAATATTTAATGTTCGTGACGGACGCTACATTGATGCAGTATGTAGCTCGCGAAAAAAGGACGCAGAGACAATCGGTGTAATGAGTGGAATATTATCGTACGTAAAATATTTAGCATTCGTGACAGACGCTACGTTAATACAATTAATGTATAGCCCGCGGTTTTCTCTAATATAGCTTCGAAACATGTGGTTTTAGGATTTCATCGTTCTCTCGATTTCCTTTCGGGGATTGCCTTTCGGGAATAATTATACTCACAATATAATTATTTAAAGCACAATTTGAGTAATGACAGTGCAAGAAATCCCGCTGCAAGAAACTCAGAGTCTGCATTATATTTTGTGTGTGAAAAACCGCAGCTGAGATTTTGCGGACTCTACTATCACACAATATAATTTTTATGACATTCTTCTTACATTTCTGCGTACTTTACCGACGAAATTTTTCTTGCGTCCACGACATAAACAATTTTTATCATTGCTTATATTGTTACATAAGAAAATTTGATACAATAAAAGTGGAAATAGTGTTTAATTTTAAATATTGACACATCGATTCTGTTTACATGCGTAATTTTATGTTAGGAACAAGATTTATATTAATATCTCTTCTTTTTAAACAAATTATAACGCAGTAATATAAATATAACTTCATGTAAATCTGTATAATATTATAAATACTATCTTATTTTTTAATTATTCGTACCTATGTGCTGTGTGTAGCGCACAATAGTAAGTAAAACTATAAAATATAACAAGCTCGAGAGAGAAACTCGTAAAATTATTAGATTAAACGAATTTATTGCGACTTGTACTACAAGTTATGTTGATCCGGACGAGATTTAAAAGATCATAATTTATTTTGAACAACTTCCACGTTTATCTGTCTTCAATGTGTGTTTGTAGCTTCCCTTTAATTTTCGTGATATTAATTGTAAGGTAACATACGTCGGTGATCATGCTTTCGGACTTTTGTCTTGTCAAAAGAAAATTCTTCTACAAAATAATTGCTTGATAAGTTTTGTTGACAGCTTGCGTGATAAGTTAATATTAGTATGTGTGAGGCAAGAGAGCTTCTTCTCTTTATCAATCATATATATGAATCCGATAGTATCATGTATAATCATTGATACAATATCATACATTCCAACATGTTCTATTAATATTCTCGATTATATGCACATTTCACATATTCGGAATTATCAGTTTATCTGTAATATAGGATAAATAAGATTTATGAACGATTTATGATTCTCTTCTTACTAATAATAATTCATGAGAGACGACGATATTCTCCATTAGTTCTACATTTTACATGCTGTATTAGGATGTCAATTATGCAGGAAATTTATTATTAAAATTTACAAAAAAATAGTATATGACAAATTCACAAGAGATGTTCATACATATATTTTTTACGCTAATTATAAATAAAAATAATAATTACATTTTTATTTAATATTTATTATATTTATTGTTATATAAAAGAGAAGTAAAATCGATATTAAAAAATAATTCTAATAATTCTAAAGGAATATTACAAAAATAAAATTCAATATTCCATATTTTCACTTTAGATATGATTTTTACATTTAACTTCAATAGAAAAATTTAAATTATATGTTATTAAGGCACACTAATTTTATATTATTCTAACGAAACGAAAAATAATTATAATTGCTAGTAAATTTTGCTTGTAACAAAATCTATCACTAATTATGTAAACTACAAAAAAGTTTATTAAGAATACTAATTGTTATTTGCCAATATAATTTTGCTAAAACTACAAATTATTTTGCTGCAAGAATAAATACATTAATTTTAATTATCAAAGTTTTTTTAGTGCATTAGCAAAATAAGCAAAACACATTTGTACATTAGCATTGTTTCGTAGTATTTTTTTATTATGCTGTTTATAGAAATATTTCGTAACAAGATGACTTCGTAATATCAGTTGAGAATTGAATTCACGACGATCTTATCTCGTGATAGAAAACAATGCACAGATCTGTCAGTAGATGGCGACATGCATTCTACTCGTCAGCTGATCACTTCTGAAATGTTTAGTTATCTCCTTTAGATTATATTCAGAAGAATGACACTTAATCGGAGCATTGTCATTAATATTTTGAATTGAATTAAGTAACACAACTGTGTAGGAAGAAGATACTTTAGGATGGAGCCTCAAGATATTTATTACAACAAAGCTGAATATGTTGAAACGGTAATAATCAAAGGAACTAAAGCATGCGACATTAATAAGACGTTTATATTTATAATTAAGAAGGAATATTATAACGTCGTAGCATTTGTTGTTAAGAGACAGATGCTATAAAAACGATTTAACAAATTTAATCATTTAACGTTTCGTATCCAGATATTCAGAACGTGATACGTAACCTCACTTTTTCGCTATTTTCCAGGCCTCTGGAAATAAGGTGAGCAGGCTGACCGTATTGTGTGGCTCGCAAAATATTGTGCTACATGGAAAAGTAATAGTGCAATCTGACGCTATCATTAGAGGCGATCTGGCCAATGTTAGAACGGGTCGCTACTGTATTATTAGCAAGAATGCTGTCATCCGGCCGCCTTTCAAGAAATTCAGCAGAGGGTAAGTAAAGTTCTTTACTATATTAGTGTAAGCTATATTGATAGTTATAATGGATATTAATTTTAATATGAGACTGGCAGCTTGCAAACGAAAGAGACAATTATGCTAAATACTAAATTTTGAAGTGATAAATCTTGCTTAGGGTTGCCTTTTTTCCTCTAACAATGGGAAATCATGTATTTGTGGGAGAACGAGCAGTTGTGAACGCAGCATTGGTTGGTTCTTATGTTTACATTGGAAAGAATGCTATAATTGTACGTATAATAACTTTTACCTGCCAAATTGAGTGAGTATAGTACAATTTTTTCATCATCAATCGTAATTGTCTCGCTATAGGGCAGGCGGTCCGTTCTGAAGGACTGTTGCTACATTGAGGATGGTGCAGTCGTACCACCAGAAACAATTGTACCGTCCTTTACTCGTTTCGCTGGCAGTCCAGCCACATGTATCGAAGAGCTGCCTGAGTGCACTCTGGATCTCATGGTAGACTTCACGAAGAATTACTATGAGCACTTCTTACCAGCACGTGTTTAATCCTCATTTATTTATGTATATACAATAGCGTACAGTCAAAATATATATTCTTTTCAAATGTATTACATGTTCACGTTCTGCATTTAAGATGAAATAAATATGTAATTAAATATGACATACGTGATAGAAGTTAGGAAATTTAAAAGACTTACAACTGAAAAGAATATAAAATCATCCGTGTGAATTTTTTTATAATTAATGTATTATATATATATATATTTTGTTATCCTTTTGAATTAATAAAGAATATTTGAATCGGGTTTAATAAATTTAATATACGTCTGCTCTTAATATGTTTCGACTTAATGGATGTTGCTATAGAATTATTTCCTTGGAGATCTGTGCTGTATGGATAACAATCCCTATATATCATTAGCCATATCATAGCTAATTTTAGTTATTTGCAATAATAGCTCGTAAGATTTATTTATTATACTATGTAAGCATAATAATTTTAAACTGTATACGTAAATCAATCATAAAGGAAGCTTGTTTATTAATCACATTGTACGCATTTATTTTATAAATAATCTATTTCTACATAAAAAGGATTATTGAAAACTCATTAAAGGAGGCGTATTTGTTTCATAATTTTACATCAAATTAAATGACAACATATTAAAATGATATCGATAAGTCACATTTATTACTAAAGGACACAAACATCTAACAAAATAGTAAAAATCTTTAATCAAGATTTTTATGAAGTTTATAATTAGATTTAACGTAGTGCAACAGAAAGCTGAGGAAAATCAGATATTTCTGAATTTCATTCGAAGTAATATACATTTCTTAGCAGGCACTTACTCAAGATATTCCACAATGTTGATTTCTGCGTTTGACACTTCTTTTATTGCATGCATAGTTTGTCTAAGGAAAAATATAATAACGAGGAAAAATAAAATAGCGCAAGGTATGGTAACACAGTTTCTTATAAGAGAATGTTGAAGCAATGATCGAACTTGATTGTTGTCGACTTTATAAATTAAGTATAGACTTTTTAAATTTTGAATTAAAAATGTCAGTTTCCTTTCCTGCATAATCATTTTAA